CAAAATAGCAAAGTTCTCTACAACCAGACGTAAGATACTAGAGTTATGGGGAAAAAAAAGCGCTATCTCTGAAAAAAGCTATACAAAAAAATACCAGAATTCAAAAATGTTTGAAAACAAAGTTCTGCCATAGAAAAAAAACATAATTTTTTAGAACATTTTAAAGAGCCATATCTATCAGAAAAAGTTGGTTTGGATCCTTGAGGAAAAAAAAAGTTGGATTTTGTCGGGTAGTGTTAACCTGTTGGAAATACTATGTTTATATATGTATTTATTTGGTTGTTCCAGAACACGTTATAAATAAAGCAGCAGCAGTAACAGAATATCAGAATCTATTCTTCCTGATTATCCGCTATGCTCCGGTTTTTGTAAATTTTTACGATTACGATTTTGGAATAATTCATACGAATTGAAATTGTGTGCGCTCCGGGTTTCATAACTTTTTCCTATCAATAGTGTTTCATTCTCAAATTGTTTTGCGATATTTATCTTGCAAAAATCTTTTTTTGGTTTGGATATGGAAATATTTAAGTTAAATATACCATCATTTTGGAAATCGCATTATATTATACCAAAATGAGAAGCAACGTGTGAGTCGCTTCTAAAGACGCGACTCTACTTATACCGTACTCAGTCAGTATTTACATTTTTGAGCATATGATTTTTTAGAATTTTAGAATTTAAAAAAAAATTTTACATTTTACATTTTTTTGCTACATCTGTTATCTACATCTACATCTACAATGTATATTTTACATCTAACATGTAGATTATAGATGTACCATTCATATTCTATATTCTATATACCCCATAACTCTTTTTTGAGTACGTGTAAAAACTAAAAATGGGTGAATTAAGAACATACGACTTTTTTACCTAAAGTCGATATTGATATCGATATTTTATCGGTCAAATGGGAACTCGCACTTTGTTGTTGTTTGGGTTTACTTTGGTGAGGTAAAATTGAGGTTCTTTAGAAATAAAATATATAAGGATATACGAAAATAAGTTTTCAATTATATAAATATAAACTTTAAACATCAGGAGAGTTGCTTATAATTTTTCCCGATTATACAAATTGTAATTTTTTTTGCGATTTGCGATAACCTGAGCATGGCTGTATATTCTACTTTAATATAATATGAATCCATTGAAGTGTAATACAGCAATAATAATTAAAATACACTCAAGGATGGCTTTTGTATGTTTATATTTAATATGAATTTTTTTCAATTTGCCGGATTGTCACTGCACACGTCTCTTCGGCTTCGTAATTGAAGAAGAAGAGAGTCAGCGATAGACATCGCATGTATATTATCGTTTTTGCTTACTAATGTATTGATATTCAATATATCCCGACTAGTCTCTCAAATGTTTTTTGAAAAAAGGATGTTTGTGGGGCTTTTCCTGCCTCTGGGATGAAGACTATTTCAGCCAATCGTGGTTTTAAGGTTTATTGGAGGAGCATGCAGCTTTGATGTTTTCTTATAAAATCCATTTAAATATTGTGAGTCAGGGCGAGTCATAGTCCAATTGATATATATAGGGATAGTTAGAATAGTGTACCGAACTACTGTCTGGTGGCCAGCTTTTTCAAAAAGGACGAACAAGTTTAGTTAACTGCCGCCCTATGCATCAATGCCATTTTATGCATTCAGAGCCTTGATTTGCAAGAAAGAAGACGGAAAAAGTTGTAAAATATGTCTGCGAGACTTCGACCAATGGGCACCACAGATCAGTCTCCATTTTAAGGAACAAAAACATCGCCCCTAAAAAACTAACTACTGCGTCCCAAGGGAGTACACAGATACCCTTTTCGAACTAATCATTATTTCGCATAGAGACGACTGGCTCAAGGAGCCATTCGGCCCAGAAGGGGTCTGAAACATCTTTACAGATGGATCGATGATGCACAACAAGTTCGGAGGACGAATTTAGTCCAAAGAGGAAAACATTAGTCATTCGTTCAGCATACCAGATCACTGCGGCGTCTTCCATGCCGAAGTCAAAGCAATCACGGAATCTCTCAAGTAGTTGCCGTAACGGCAACTCACTTATACATTTATAAAGACAGCCAAGCTGCGATAAAATCACTTAATGAGATTTTATCAACCTGCCGCAAATCTCTTCTCGATATAGCTCAACAATTCGTTATTAACCTAGAATGAATAAACTGTATGAAAGACGAGCCGGTAAGAACTGGCACTACGATCCCCCTTCTCCACGACAAGGAGAATATCTGTTTGCTAATGGCAACCTATCCGCTCATTATAAAATACAATTTTAAGCAACTAAGTGGCTAATAGCTAATATCCATGCTAACAGGATGGGTGCCCTTTAAACGGTGGAGCACTTCCTTTACTGTCCAGCTTTCAACGGAATAGAATAGAATAGAATATTATGTATATTCTACATCTAATATGTAGATTATACATGTACCATTTAGATTCTACATCTCCTCCGCTAAGGGTTGCTCGCGCACTAAACGCGGCAGAGTGTGCGAGCGAGAAGGAAAATGAGTTGCATGGTCGTTGGCAGGGGGGGCAGAGGAAGCAACTGAAAATTAATTTCTTCATTCTGGCTATAATTATAATCCGATCTAATTCAGATTCGGCAATCCGGTAGATATGGGCATTCCCTACGATAATGCGTTTTTAGTTTTATCGTATCTTTAAAAATGTGCCTGCCACAGATTTTCGTTCTTTGTGTGGGCGGAAGGGGGCGGGGCGAAATTTTGAAATACACTTGTAGCAGTGTGATATCACATGAGTCTGGAAACCAAATTTGGTTGCCCTAGCTCTTATAGTCTCTGAGATCTAGGCGCTCAACAAGACGGACAGACAGACAGACAGACAGACAGACGGACAGACAGACATGGCTATATCAACTCGGCTATTGATGCTGATCATGAATATATGTACTTTATGGGGTCGGAAACGTTTCCTTCTCTGCGTTACACACATCCACTTTTACCACAAATCTAATATACCCCTTAACTCTTTTTTTAGTACGGGTATAAAAAGGCGGGGGCGTCAACTATAATTGGCGTGTATTTGGCGTGCACAAAGCTGAGGGCTGATGACGGTTGTATATAGGCGCGTAGGTGTCGAGAGACTGTTCTCTCCCGCTCGGCCTACGGCTAGCGCCCGTGATGGAGCGCCGAGTGGATCGCGTCCACGCCGCGCGAGAACGAAGGGCATGGGAGAGCGCGCGAGCTAACAGAGCGCTGTTAACCGCGCTGCTGCCCTAAACACCTTTCATACATGACATTTCAGGAATGTCCACAATATGCTCATATGAGCATCGGGATGGAACAACTGTTCACATCGCGTCTCAAACGGGAGAAGTGTAAAATAACTCAGCCGATCCATAAGGGTACGAAACATGCCTAAGTGTGCCTAACTTATCGATAAAGCTCTGGGACTATCTTTGTAAACAAACAAATGTTTCTCAACGCTTGTTTTTTGATCGATCTTTCCTTATTACGGAGTATGTGGTCCGAACCGAGAGGCGTCGACGAACGATCTGTAAATACATATGTAATTATCATTAAAGATTACTGAAAAATATGAATTTCTTTTCACCTTATTTATTTTATGTTTTTATTCTCTATGTTTGGCTATTAAGAGTTTTTAATAGCCGTTGAAACTCAGTTATTATTAAGAACGAGAAGGAACGTGTGAGTCACTTCTGGGGATGCGACTCTACTTATACCCGTACTCAGTCAGTATATACATTTTTGAGCATATGATTCTTTTAGAATTTTGGAATAAAAAAAAAAAATTTTACATTTTACATTTTTTTGCTACATCTGTTATCTACATATACATATACAATGTATATTTTACATCTAACATGTAGATTGTACATGTATGTTCTACATCTCCTTCGCTAGGGGTTGCTCGCACACTGAACGCGGCAGAGTGTGCGAGCGAATGAGTTGAATGAGCTTGGTGTTGGCAGGAGGGGCGGAAGAACCAACAGAAAATTAATTTCTTCATTCTGGCTATAATTATTATCCGATCTGATTCAGATTCGGTAACCTGGTAGATTTGGGCATTCTCTACGATACTGCATTTTTAGTTTTATCGTATCTTTAAAAATGTGGCTGCCACAGATTTTCGTTCTTTGTGCGGGCGGAAGGGGGCGGGACGAAATTTTGAAATACACTTGTAGCAGTGTGATATCACATGAGTCTGGAAACTAAATTTGGTTGACCTAGCTCTTATAGTCTCTGAGATCTAGGCGCTCAACAAGACGGACAGACAGACAGACAGACAGACAGACGGACAGACAGACATGGCTATATCGACTCGGCTATTGATGCTGATCAAGAATATATATACTTTATGGGGTCGGAAACGACAATTGGCAGTTGGGCCCGCAACCTTCCAAAATGTATTTTTTGTTCATTTTTTCCATATTTTAGGTTTGGTTAACGAATTTTAGCTGCAAAGTCTCTCCATAGATTTTAATGAGCGATACCTTAAACGACGCCAAATTAACGCACCTATACACAAAAAAATAGAGGACACAAGATATAATTTTTTTTCGACTTTTCCTGAGTTTTTAAAGTCAAAATTTCGTAAAAAATACCGCTCAAAAATCATCATTTTTACATTTCAATGCTTTATATTTCCCAGACGGTAAGCTGTAATCACAAAGTGTTTGGGCTTAACTAGCTGTTTTAGTTATCTTCTCAAAATAGTAAAGTTCTTTACAACCAGACGTAAGATACTAGAGCTATGTGAAAAAAACAAGCGCTACCTCTGAAAAAAGTTTAAAAAAAAATACCAGTTTTCAAAAATTCTTTAAAAAAAAAGTTCTGCCATAGAAAAAAAAAAAATATTATCAAACCATTTTTAAGCCCCAAATCTTTAAGAAAAAGTTCGTTTTGTTCCTTGAGGAAAAATCGTGTTGACTAGTGTTATTAGCTAAAGAATTTATGATTAAATAACGTGCTGGGAAAACCGACACTCTATGAATTTTACGTAAGAATTTTGAGTTTCACAAACACAAAACAGCTGATTTCAAAATTTTCAAATTGATTTGTTATTATTTAATTTTTAGATATATGTGGAACAGCTACCACTAGTCGATGTACTTGTCTTTAGTTTTTCGAGAACAATATAACTGACTTGAGACAAAATCAGCCATACACTGCTTGACACGTTGCAAATTACTCGAGCGTGGCTTATTATAGAAAACTAGCGAACTATCGCAACAAGTGGGAGACAAAATTGTATAGTCACATTTGTGGAATTTGGGACGAAATATGTAAACAAGGCAAGATAAGACGATAAGCGCGGATGGACTCAATGCAGGAGTGTGCGTATGTATATTTGAATATGCAAAAATTAAGATATATTATGAATTTTAGCTTAAGAGCTTAGCTTAACACGGTTACACCAGGGACATTCTGGTACATTCAATGTGCTTCAATTAACTTTCACTAGCCAAATCATTGGGTTTCTTTCGAAGTATCAGGAAAAATACTAGATTTTTTATAAATAACTAGGAGGCTCTTTCGCTATTACCAACAACCAAAAAGTATATGGATGTGCCAGAAGCTATTAGAAGACCTGTTTTTTTATATTTCCTTTATATGCTAGTTTACCTTTAATATAGAATAAACAAAACAAATAAACATGTAAGTATAAATATAATGGATATGGTCAAAATCGCCAAAACAAACCATGTACACAATTTTTATACCCGTACTCAAAAAAGAGTTAAGGGGTATATTAGATTTGTGGTAAAAGTGGATGTGTGCAACGCAGAGAAGGAAACGTTTCCGACCCCATAAAGTATATATATTCTTGATCAGCATCAATAGCCGAGTCTATATAGCCTTGTCCGTCTGTCCGTCTTGATGAGCGCCTGGATCTCAGAGACTATAAGAGCTAGAGAAACCAAATTTGGTTTCCACACTCATGTGATATCACACTGCTACAAGTGTATTTCAGAATTTCGCCCCGCCCCCTTCCGCCCCCACAAAGGACGAAAATCTGTGGCAGCCACAATTTTAAAGATACGATAAGACTAAAAACGCAGTATAGTAGAGAATGCCCATATCTACCAGATTGCCGAATCTGAATCAGATCGGATCATAATTATAGCCAGAATGAAGAAATTAATTTTCAGTTGCTTTCCCTCCCCCTCCTCCCACAAACGACAACGCAACTCATTTTCCTTCTCGCTCGCACACTCTGCCGCGTTCAGTGCGCGAGCAACCCCTAGCGGAGGAGATGTAGAATCTAAATGGTACATGTAGAATATACATGTTAGATGTATAATAGAAATAGTATATGTAGATGTAGATAACAGATGTAGCAAAAAAATGTAAAATTTTTTTTTTTTTTAAGTTCTAAATAATTATATGCTTAAAAATGTATATGCTGACTGAGTACGGGTATAAGTAGAGTCGCGTCCCAGAAGCGACTCACACGTTCCTTCTCGTTTTTAATTCTAAAATTCTAAAAAATCATGCTCAAAGATGTATATACTGACTGAGTACGGGTATAAGTAGAGTCGCGTCCCCAGAAGCGACTCACACGTTCCTTCTCGTTTTTTTTTTTAATTTCGCGAGTTCTTGATCACGTCTTCTGTTCTTCCGTTTGCCAGCCCGACGCCTTTATTACCCAGATCGTCCGATATCTCGTTGCCTTCGATGCCTTGGTTGGTGGGAACCCAATAGATCCGAACTGACTTTGTCGTGCTTAGGAAATCTAATGACTCCCTGCATGCCAGGACATTCTTGGAACTGACCGCTGACGACTGCATGGATCTTATCGCCACCTGGCTGTCCACGAACAGGTTGACTACATCGTGTGGACGATCCGTAAACTGAGCAACCTCCTCCGCTTTCGGTATAGCGAAGACTTCCGCCTGAAATATGCTGCATTGGTCCGGTAGCTTATAGGACAGCTTTATCTCAGGGTCTGCACCATCTATGCCCGCTCCTCCTCCTCCTTCCATCTTTTAGCCGTCTGTGCTTATGTTGAGGTGTTCAGTCTCTTTCCAGTCATCGGGTCCCATGTTTTTTTGACGTCCAGGCAAGTTCGGGGGATCATGTAGTCAAATATACTGATCCTGTCTCCGGCAATTAAACTGTGTCCGACTCCTTGCAGCGACATGTTGCCTGATGCGACTATGCGTTGTGCTGACGGAGGATGACATGCTGACTCGTTGAGTAATTGACTACCAGCATACAACACCTTTAAAAATGTTGGTACGTCCGGCCTCTGCCTTTGAAGCTGGTTCACTGCTCGGAGTAGATGGAATCAGCTCTCTGTCTACTAACTCCAGCTTGGTCCCTTCCCAAAAATCTTTAAATTGCACCTCCTGCACCACCCACCTTCGAGTTGGCTCTTTGTTACATTTGAAGATCTTTACTCTGTTCAGCAATCCAGCATCATCGAGGTAGGCATAGGAGCTATAAGGTTATCCTCTTTTCGCGAGAAGAGAGATTCCACGAGCTGCGCGTGGACTAGCTTCCACAGGATCGCCGTCATCTTCCTGTTCTCGTCGCTGGGGCTAATTAGGGCCACAACAAATATCCTTTGGATGCGTTCATGTTGATCCTCTATTGCCGCATTGCCGCTTGCTCGCTGGAGTGTCGTTTGAAGTGCTCTCGGTCGAGCGTTACCTTTTCATGCGCAGTATTTCTTGCACGTTTGTTTGTTTGTTTGTTTATTTTGATTTTCCTAGTGCTACAAGGTTGTACCTTATGATTAGTGCACTAGTCACAAAAATTCCAATACGATTAATTAATAAATGAAATTGGATTAGATCGAATATTTCTTATAGCTAATTTTGCTTAATTTTATACACATTTTTAATTCTAAATTTAAATTTAAATATCTCCTAAGCATAATAGATTCTTAATTTTATTTTGAGGTATGTTATTCTTTTCTTTTAATTTAGAGTTTTCAGATGTATAGTCAGATTTGTCCTGAATTTTAATGCGTCTACAGTTGTTTTTAAGCTATTTGGTAATTGGTTCCATAGGCGAACAGTGTAAATGAAAAAGTGTCTTTCAGAGCTAGCTAGTCTGTGCTTAAGACATACTATATTATTTGTTCTTCGTGATGCAGTAAACCTTAGTATGTCTGATAGATATGGTGGTTCTTTCTTGGTTATAATTTTATGTAAAAATATTAATGCTCGCGAGTCAATCCATTTCGTTAAACCCATACCAAAAATTCTGACTGCATGAGTGGTTATATGCTCCCTCTTTCTTATATTAAACACATATCTTGCTATACTATTGAATACTATCACTATCACTACTATCACAGTTTGCAAATAGCTCTACGCCATAAAAAAGTGTTGGTATCAATAGTGTTTTAGCAACTAAGAGACGAATATTTTCTGGAAGGTAACGTTGTGTCATGTTTAAAGTTCTCAGCAAACCGTAGTTTCTACCTACGACCTTTATAATGTGATCATTCCATGTAAGCATGCTATTAAAAACCACTCCCAAATTATTTGCTGTTGTTGTGTATGTAATGGTATTGTGATTTATTTTTATTTTGCGTAGGTTAGTAAGTTCGATTTTCTTCTTTGAGATTAGTAGGCATTTAGATTTAGTTGGGTTTAATCCTAGACCGTTATTGTTTGCCCAACTGCTTATGTTTGTTAGTTCCCTTTTGTTTATTATTGTACACTCATTTATGTTATTTACGGGACGGCATTGGGAAGGTCATTTACATAAACAGTAAACAATAATGGTCCAAGGATAGATCCTTGCGGAACTTCTCTCGTAGGGGACAGAGATGACGAGTACCCAAATTTCGTGACTACAGATTGTAATCGATGAATGAATGAATTAGTTCGGTTGCGGTGCTGTCCAGTCCATATAGACTTTGAAGTTTTTTACACAGAACCTCGTGATTGACGGTATCGAATGCTTTGCTATAATCTAATAATGTCAAGAATGCCACCTGTCCTTCATCAATTTTTTTACGGATGTCTTCAGTGACTTTAAGGATTGCAGAAGTACAACTCCTGTTTTTCCTAAACCCCGATTGTTTTTCATTAAGCAGTTTATTACTTGCCATATAGATAATAAGTTGGGTTCAGAGCAATCGTTCAAGAACTTTTGAAAGAAAAGGCAAAATGGCAATCGGTCTAAATTCGGTATTGGAATTATTTTGGCTGCTTTCCAGGCCTGAGGAAATGACGAACTCATTATTGCACTATTAAAGACATGTGTTACATATAGTATTATCTTTGGTAGCAGTGGTTTAAGAAATTTGGGATTTATATCATCTGGTCCTGTTGCACTAGATTTAATTTTAAGAATCGACCTTACAACATCACATTGGTACACACATTCAAAGCTAAATCTATTATCACAGTAAATATCACGGTCAAGGTATACGTTATTTATTATAGTAGGTACGGTAGATTGCACAAATTTTCTGTTCAAATCATCAAGGTCGATATCCACCTGTGGTGATTTCGGCATCTGTTTGCCGACTTTAATTCCTGCAATTTTTGGCTAGTTGAAATGATTTCATGAAATTTGGTCGTGTAATAGTCAGTTTTAGCTTTCTTAATGCTATTCTGCACTTTTTGTCTCGCTTCCTTAAACATGGCGTAGTGATGGCTTGTCTTGTATCGTTTCCATCACTCATAAGCAACATTTCGAGCATTTGTTAGCAATTTTATATTGTCAGAAAACCAGGGCTTTAAAGACGGCCTAATAGTGCGTGATTTAGTTGGTACAAATTTATTGTAAAGGTACAGTATGTTATTATGAACTAATGAAACTTGTTCGTCCAATGAGGTTGTAGCAAGGATGCTATTCCAGTCCAGTTGGTCACATTCAGCACTTAACGAAACCTAGTCAATATTTTTAAATTCCCTGTAATATATTTTTTCGGCAGAGCTTTCGAAGTGAACATCATCGTCAGATATACTAAGTCATGTCTAGAGAATACTGGCACAGAAATTTGGTCATATAATAAAATACTTTGACGATTACTAACAAAAAATACGTCCAGCAGGGTGTCAGTACATTGTTTTAAGTGAGAAGTGAGTTGGGTAGTCAGAGTTTGCAGCATGCAGACCTATCGCTTTCAAATTGTTTTTTAGCTGGTGCTCTCTCAGAACGTTGCTATTTAGGTCATTTTTCATGTCATTATTCGGTGATTACTACATTGTCATACCCTAATGATATTCTGTCCAGTATTGAGATGGCTTCCGAAAAGTCTGTTGTGCGATTTGGTCTGTAAATGCAGCCAACAAGTAACCTGGACGCTTGTCTTGCTCCCTTTATTTCGAGAAAGATTTACTCTAGTAGACTCTTGTTGGTGTGCTTACTTA